GTGGACACTGCCTTTAAGGCACGCGCCATATTGATTCGCTTGAAGGCAGCGTCCAGGCAAATCTGGCCTACGGAGATCTCACATGGTAAGTACCTTGGGACTCTAACTGAGACACCGCCCAAGCAGCAGCGCGGATGCTTCGCTCACGTCTAAGATATTCGCCTCAAAATGACCACAGGATCATATTACGGACGCCTTTCATGAATTTCGCATGCCGCGCCAGGATTACGCGAAACTGATAAGTTCTCTAGGCAAGTTGTCCATTGAATCCTGGAGTTTAGTTTGGAGGCAAATAACTCAGCTGTGAGTGCACATTATAAGCTGCCGCTTAGGCAGCTTAGTTAGGGCTCTAAAATTACTATTCACTTGGGATACGTCCAAATTCTAGACGCTGCCTTCAAACTATTTGATCCGGTTGATCCGCCAGTGGGCCAGTCATCAGTGGTCAATTCAGTGAATTGACCAATGCTGCTCATTACTCTAACTTCCTTTTCCAGGTGGATCACGTTACGCAACGAGTGCAGTTTGGTCAAAAATTGCAGGATTTTTTCAATGTTCAGGTATCACTTTTAGTCTTAGAACATTTAGTTTTCTTGCTCAGCGCGCACTCGATATGGCTCCGTAAGCAGGACATTTGTCGATGTTAGCACTGATGCGGTAGAGTTCTAAGAAAATGCGGATTCGTAGTAAAGCTGCTTCAGCCAAAATTCAATGTACTGCGGGCGAGTCGGCTCGGCCTAGACAAACATTCCAATGTGTGTCACTTCGGCATCCATTGTTCAGAAACTTTTTTCGAGCCTAGGCTTACAAACTTGCTTCCTTTTTTTTTTTGAAAGCACAAAGCTTTTCGCTACAAGCTCCTTCTCCTTTGGGTAAAGGAAATGGCAATTCTGAAACATCTACATGCCCTTGCTAGACGTGAATGTTTTTCTGGCTAGTTCCAGACGATGAGAATGTGCAGAAAATGACAAATATCAAAGGTTACCCTTTAACGAAAGAACTTTTTAGGAAAAACTCACCAATATGATAGCTCGTCATTACGCTACTGAGTCAATTGTTTATCTCCTCGCTTCCAACATGGATCGCGGTATACAGGACTATCAGCTAGAAGCTGCTATTGGCAAAGTTGCTGCTTCGGTGAGTTAAACTGTAGGGCCCCCTTTGCATATGGGCGACTAGCTCACTTCTCATCAAACTAAATTGCAAAAACTTCAAACATACAGAGAAAACCTACACTTCTATAAGCGACAACAAATAAGCTTATTTTTTCAGGAAAACGCCTGGTGGGTATGCGATGAAGCTATTCAGCTTCATGGTGGCATGGGTTTTATGACTGAGACTGGCTTGGAGCGAGTAATGAGAGATCTTCGAATATTTAGGTAAGTGCTTGCTTGCTTGCGGCTAGCTGAAAGATATCGCTTTTTGTATAGAATATTCGAGGGTGCAAATGATGTTATGAGACTTTTCGTGGCCCTTACCGGAGCACAACATGCTGGCAAACATCTTCAGCAAGTCGCGAAAGACATCAAAGCGGGAGCAATTGGGACGCTATTCGGGCAAGTAATAAAGCGAGCGACGGGGTACGTTTGAAAATTAGTTGTACTAGCAATGTAAACAGATTCTTCTAGTAGAAGCACTGGTGGAGACTTTGAGGCCGTTGTTGATCCTGCGCTTGTGGAATCAGCCAAGGAACTTGATTCGTGTATCAAAGAGTTTGGAAAAACTATCGAGAAACTCCTGATGAAGTACAGAAAAGGAATTATAGGTTGGTTTAAAAGACTCTTCTAGGCTGTCTGAGTGAGGGTGCCACAACCTCAGCTATTCGCGACGGCTTCGCT